TCTCTCTCTCTCTCTCGAATTGGCAATATTTGAGAAAAGGGTTTAGTGATTTCTAATTATTGGGGGGACTAGCCCCCCTCAATGTCTATGGTGGTTATTATCGCCCTGATCAGACATGAAAATATGTTGTGGCACTACCGTGCAGTCTATAGGCTAATGATATGACGTTAGTTAGCAAATATTAGCGATTTTTTGCAAACATTTCTTTGAGTAACATGACCGTAAATCACGATTCACGATTGAATGTAACATAAAACAAATGATTACTTTTTGTTAAAATCTTTATTAATGCCATTACATTTATGTCTTTGTTTGAAGGGCTGTCTGGCCCTTCCCCTACCCCTCCAACCAAAAGAGAATTGAGACACCCCTACCCCTTCACATAAACACGCGAAACGGAGGGATAGGGGAAAGGGGAAGGGCTAAGGGGTAGAATTGTGATTGGGACCAAGTTTCTCTGTGAATTTTAAGATTTTTTTTTTTTATCAAATGACATTTGAAATGCCCAAGAAATGAACTCTTAGAGCAGCTTAAGAGATGACGTTCATGTAGAGAGTCCTTATATAGTGTCCTTAAGTAATTATACAGTAAATATGTATGTGTGTGTATATATACAGTATATATATATATATATATATAGCAAATATTATATAGTTGTACGGTAAATATGACTGGATTCCATGATTCAGTCCACGTTTTCTGCATCAAGGAAAACATTTGCATTCAAGCACTTGCATCTCCGAATACTTTTATGATATGAAATTGATGTAAACACAGACAGTTAAGTTATCAGAACAAGACAAAACAACTGATATGTTGAAATAGATCTGTGCATTAGTGTGAATGCAGATCGAAATAGAAATGTGCATTAGTGTGAATCGGTGTGAATGCAGCCTGTTAAAGCTGCCAGTGTCCGTGATCTCATCAGATCATCATCAAACAGCAATAATGCTGAGGAAAAACGAAAAACCCATAACTATGATTGTCTGTAAACTTTCGGATACTTAAAGCACAACTCGGATACTGAAAGTACGTTTTGTTTATCACTTGCAATTATCTTTTTCCCCCTTTATTACTTTATATTTGCTTGTATGTTTTGAAGCTATATTTATTTGGTTAAGTTCTTAACTATTTTTTTTATTTATTATTAATTTGTAATTATTTTAAAAAGTAGCCTGCTTATATAATTTAATAAAAATGCACAAAATAAATTTCATATAATCGTGATGCATCGTGATATCGAATCAAAACGAATCGTTGACTTGATAATCGAATTGTGATTCAAACCCTTAATACACTCGTAAAAAAAATCCCTCTCTCTAAATGTGGGCACATCCAATTTGACCATCTCCAATTAAAAAATAAAGTAAAAAAAAAAAAAAAAGTAAAACAGGCCAATTATTCTCTGATTTGAGCCATGATCCTGATAACCAGGAGAGCACTGACATAGCTCAGACAAAGCAAACAAATAAAAACATCTAAATACAAACCTGGGGCTGTATTACAGAAACATCCTAAATTAGAATCCTATCCTATTTGTTTAGTAACCATGGTAATTTCCCTTAGAAACTAGACATTTTTCAAATCTTGAGTCAAGAAATAAGATTCTACGTTTTTGTAAAACAGCTGCAGGAAAATAAGTGGAAATATGGTGCAAGGAAAGGAGAGAAAGAGGGATCATTAAGGGCAGATAACAATGAGAGGGACGATGACAGTGGAGATAAAAAGAGGAGAAAAAGACAGAAGACATTAAAGAGCAATAAGGTCCCATTAGTTAACATTAGTTAATGCAGTATTTATTTGTATTTAAATATAGTATTTATTAATCCTTGGTAACGTTAATAAATATACAACTCACTGTTTAATTGTTAGTTCATGTTTACTCAGGTCTATTAAATAATATTAACAGATGCAACTTTTGATTTTAATAATGTATTAGCAAATGTTTTTCATTCTTTGTGAAAAACTTTTTATGAAAATGGAAACCTTTTTATTGTTGGTTCATGTTTACTAACATAATTAACTAATGTTAACAAATGTGTTACCAAGAAAATAAGTATGGCTGAACTTCACTGGGGGGCTTTTCTCAGCCAGTACTCAAATTTGCATGATCAGTTTGATTATGAATTAGCATATCATGTAATTAATTTAATTTAAATCTTTAAATGACTGACAATCCCAAAAATAACAAAAAAGATTTGAAGGAGGAAAGCTTGTAAAAGCAGACCACAGACACTGGTGATTTCAAATGTCAACATTGGCTACCAGAAATCGCTTAACATACCGTTAAAAGTTGAAACAGAAACAAAAACAAACAAACAAAAAAATGTTACAATTATGCACACAATGAATGAAGTCTCCAATTGCAGCTGCAGGAAAATAAGTGGAAATATGGTGCAAGGAAAGGAGAGAAAGAGGGATCATTAAGGGCAGATAACAATGAGAGGGACGATGACAGTGGAGATAAAAAGAGGAGAAAAAGACAGAAGACATTAAAGAGCAATAAGGTCCCATTAGTTAACATTAGTTAATGCAGTATTTATTTGTATTTAAATATAGTATTTATTAATCCTTGGTAACGTTAATAAATATACAACTCACTGTTTAATTGTTAGTTCATGTTTACTCAGGTCTATTAAATAATATTAACAGATGCAACTTTTGATTTTAATAATGTATTAGCAAATGTTTTTCATTCTTTGTGAAAAACTTTTTATGAAAATTGAAACCTTTTTATTGTTGGTTCATGTTTACTAACATAATTAACTAATGTTAACAAATGTGTTACCAAGAAAATAAGTATGGCTGAACTTCACTGGGGGGCTTTTCTCAGCCAGTACTCAAATTTGCATGATCAGTTTGATTATGAATTAGCATATCATGTAATTAATTTAATTTAAATCTTTAAATGACTGACAATCCCAAAAATAAAAAAAGATTTGAAGGAGGAAAGCTTGTCTAAATTAGAATCCTATCCTATTTGTTTAGTAACCATGGTAATTTCCCTTAGAAACTAGACATTTTTCAAATCTTGAGTCAAGAAATAAGATTCTACGTTTTTGTAAAACAGCTGCAGGAAAATAAGTGGAAATATGGTGCAAGGAAAGGAGAGAAAGAGGGATCATTAAGGGCAGATAACAATGAGAGGGACGATGACAGTGGAGATAAAAAGAGGAGAAAAAGACAGAAGACATTAAAGAGCAATAAGGTCCCATTAGTTAACATTAGTTAATGCAGTATTTATTTGTATTTAAATATAGTATTTATTAATCCTTGGTAACGTTAATAAATATACAACTCACTGTTTAATTGTTAGTTCATGTTTACTCAGGTCTATTAAATAATATTAACAGATGCAACTTTTGATTTTAATAATGTATTAGCAAATGTTTTTCATTCTTTGTGAAAAACTTTTTATGAAAATGGAAACCTTTTTATTGTTGGTTCATGTTTACTAACATAATTAACTAATGTTAACAAATGTGTTACCAAGAAAATAAGTATGGCTGAACTTCACTGGGGGGCTTTTCTCAGCCAGTACTCAAATTTACATGATCAGTTTGATTATGAATTAGCATATCATGTAATTAATTTCATTTAAATCTTTAAATGACTGACAATCCCAAAAATAACAAAAAAGATTTGAAGGAGGAAAGCTTGTAAAAGCAGACCACAGACACTTGACAGGAATGATTTGCGATGCATCTCTCACCAGTCTCCGACTCTCGGCTGATGCCATCTGTGCCCTGTGCTGCTGGAGCGCTGTAAGGGGGTAACGTGACCAGGCCAGTGGTGCCATCTGAGCCCTCACTGGACTGACTGCCCCGTACGGGAGGAGAAGACCCGTCTGCCTGCTCTCCAGTGCCCAATGGCAGCTGAGGCTTTGTCGGACGCTGCTTCGGCTCCAGAGCCTTGCTGACTGCAGGGCGAGAGAGAGAGAGAGAACAAAATCTGTGTTGGGGCTCGCCAATAATGACTGCCTGATGGGCCAGGTCAGCGTGAAAGACTCTTGGGACAGCTGACAGAATTGTTAGTTATGCTTATGTGGATGTAAAGAGCTTTATTGCCAGATAGGTTTACACATACGAGGAACTTGTTTTGGTTCCACAGCACAAACAGATTACAATGACAAGACACAGATAATAAAAATAGAATAAGTGAATAGGAAATAATAATATACAACAAATATTTTAAAAAATACACAATGTACAAAAATAGACAACAGATGGTATTTGTGTGTACAGGTATGATATGTACAAATGTAAGAATGTAAGGAAATAATAAGTATGGTGGGTTTAATAAATAAACATATAGATATTGTTGTGTATTACATGTTTATTGCCAAGTTAACTGTTCATGAGATGGATTGCCTGAGGGAAGAAACTGTTCTTATGCCGGGCTGTTCTGCATGTATGCAAGTATAAAATTTAATTCAGTGAAGACAAAGCAGCGTTCATTTTGAATGGACTACCTTACATAATTTCTTTAATATTTCTTTACTCTGCATACTAGTGTTAGACCTACCTGAAAAAACTTAAAGCACTGTTTGTTTCATTTGTTTTATTGTATTTGCTCTATTGCTTGTCATTTGTTCTTCTTATTTTATTACTGACTGTTTACTTGCCTTCACTAATGTTTAAACTATAATAGTTAGTAGTTTTTGCTGTGATATCGAAACTGGAATCGAGAATTGACAACATTTGATATTTTGACAACATTATTAAAAAACAAAACCAGCTATTATTTATTTATTTATTTGTGGCAGGGCCAGTAGAAAAAAAAAACTTAGATTTGAGTCCTGAATGGTGTGTCTCTTCAAAATATAAAGGAGATTACAAATAGGTGGTTGTCTGTATAAAATTGTCACATATAGGGAAGTAAAACAAACCCACAAGGAGCTTCACAAGGAACTAAATTATGCCATACAGAGATTTTACCCTAAAAGAAATTGAAACAAAATCTTTTTTTATTTTTTTTACTGAGAAATGAACCATTTTTTTTTCCTTTTCATTTTTATCCCTTTACTTATAAGTCTAATAAGTAAACCCAAGGTTTTCGGAGAAATACTATTTAAAGTAATTCATTTTAAATACCATTTCACCATCTGTAAAGCCTAGAATTAACCAGGTCTGTTTTTGCTACTGTACACGACCTCTGTTATGATTAGCTGACATTTCCGTTACTGACTGCATAACTACAAAAATAAATTTGTGTTGTAACCCAGTGCTTCTCAAGGCCAGATTACTTTATAAAAAAAAAAAAAAGAAAAATGACAAAAATCATATGAATAAAAAACTAACTAAAATATTAGCACACACACACACTAATTAAGATTTATTTTGCCCCCTCAATAACAATTTTTTTTTATTGAAGAACATATAGAATCATAATCTTGTAACCAAAATAAATTTTGGTTAACTTAATATATCAACATTCCCAGTTTCTGTTAACAAAAAAGTTTGAAAACAAGCAGCGCTGTCATTATTACAGCAGAAATACAGGAGGAAATATCTTAGCCAATATGGGGACCTTCAAATAATTTTGTTGGACAATGGGAGCCTTTGAGTCAAAAAGGTTGAGAACCACTGGTTTAACTGTTAGTGAAATGAACCATCAACTTACGTGATGAAGCATCAATCCTGCTCGGCCGTCTCTGAGGAAAGACACTAGAAAATCTTGTTTTCTTCGATTTCTCCTCGCTTCCATCTTTCTCTGGCTTTATACTTTTCTGTTTAGGAAGCACAGAGACACTGGTTTGGTTTCATGGAGTCATTTGGAAACCGAGTAAGGATGTTCGCTGAGAGTTTGTACCTTTATCTTAGGGAAAAGGTTCATTAGCTTGGGCTTGTGCTCCAGCCCTCGAGACTCCTTCACTTTTACACCGAGCTGCTTCATATACGACAGTATCACAAACTGCATGGTGCTACTGTGAAAGAGAATGACAATATGAGAAAAAAATAATACTTGGAATTTGTTCAAATCCCTAACTTTAAGTATGAACAACAGTAATGCATTTACATTGCTTCATTATATCTGTATATATACCCAGGGGTTGATGATTCATCCAAAACAGAATACTAGCTGATATATATATATTTTTTTCTAATTCAGTCTTTGACTTCAACTAATGCCGAGTTCACACTGCACGATTTTCAAACTCGTCGGATCGCCGTTGTTTTCACAGTGTGTGACTATCTGGGGTAGCATTCAGTTGCTGCTGTGTTCACATTGCACGATGGATCGGCGACAGGGGGTTTCACACTGCATGACTTCACAAAGCAAATGTTTGTGCTTGTTTCTGTATGATATAATTGTTCATATATCTATACATTTCTCATTTCACACCGCGTGATTGTGAATCGGCGACAGCTCCATATATTTAGCATGCCAAATATTTAGCGGCCGTCGGCGACGTGTCGACGATTCCCTCAGATCGCGTCTTTGATAATTCACACTGCGTGATTGTCACTCGCGTGAACGAGCACCGATTTGCCGCCGATGTCGGGCATTTGTCGGCGATTTCGCAAAACCTGTCGGCGAGTGAAAAATCGGGCTAATATCGTGCAGTGTGAACTCGGCATTAGTTTCACTGTTGTAGTTTAACAATTCTGAGAAATCATTATCTGTAACTTCCACAAGGGGGAGCAAGAGCTCGGTTCAGTCCATGCTGAAATACTTTACAGTGTGCAGAAAATTATTCTGACAGCTAGGACCCCAGCCGAAGAACTTACAAAGCTGTTCTCACAAACACTTACAAGCCAAACAGATGACTTGTACAATGCGTAACTGCAGTCAGTGCCAGAGCAGAAATAGCAATCACAAGCTCCTGTCAGAGACTTCATTAGGCTACACTCTCTTGCATGCCATCTGGGCGAACACACAACGCCTCCGTCCCTGCTGCTGCCGCCCATATGGGCTCCTGACCGATCATATGCTGCAACTACACACCACTCACAAGACTGCAGCTAAAACTGGGAGGGAAACTATAGGGCTAGTGTGATTTGTAGCCGGTTTTTGCCTTTAAAAATGTACCCTTTCAGACTTGAAAGTTTGGTTTTACTACTTTATAAAGTAATGTAAAACTGTACCATTTTACTAAATACTCAATTTCTATGTCACCTTGGATTTATTCCTCAATCTATGAGGCTGGACAGTGTTTCAGGGGTTAATCTATGTTGTAATATGTCATTTATGGAAAGAGAGGACATGAGAATTCCCCTTACCACTTATCTTCCTCTGTGGCCTGTGACGTCAATCTGAAACAAAACATAAGTTGCGATTTACTGAAGTGTGAGAGACACACACAACTTCCAGTGTGTTTTACTTCTCATTTGAAAAGTGTAATATGTAAATATTATTTACCCATTTTGGTTTAAACCCAAAGATGTTACCATAATTAGTTTAACCCTCTACCGCATGGTGTAGCCATATGGCAACATACCTAAGTTAGATCCACTATTGTATGCTGTTGCCGTATGGCAACATATCATAAAGTACCTTAAAATAATATTTTTTTCCAAATTTTTTTTTACAGCACTTCAAGTTAAGCCATTCTTAGAAAAGAAAAAGATTCAAATATTTTTTTCTATAGGTCTATCATAATGTGTGCGGTAGAGGGTTAAACTCAATGCTATCATATTAGTCTAGGTTTAATCTTAGTTAATTTTTGGGTCAAATGGGAACCAGTTGTGTAAAAGATGACAAACAATGAATGGCGGATATGTCATATGTAAACCTTATAACCATAACTCTTTCAAATAATGCTTCCTCTTGGTTCCCACTTTATTTTCATTTTTGTTATATTCATCAGTTGGGAACTTTTTTTTTTTTTAATTAAAAAGTGTATATAGTACTTACACCAGCATTATATTAGCATTCATTTCTCTTTCTAAAAAGCCCCTTGCAAACTGTTATGAGTCACCCGTTATCTTTCTGAAGGCATATACAATTCTGATCAGTTTACATACTGGTCTCTTGCTAAATTTACATGCTCCTTAAAAATATTCATTTATATAAAAGAAGAGGACCAAGAACAGAGCCCTGTGGGACACTCTGTGTTAGAGGAGTATTGCAAGATTTAAAGTCATGGACAGCAATTAAGTGTTCTCAGTGAGTTAATCAGTGAGAAGCTATATCTTTTATAAATATATCTTTTAGGTAGCTTCTTCTGTGTAGTACTAAATAAAAAGGAATACCATTTTATGATCTAAAGATCTTTTTTTAGGATGTTATTTTTTAATAATTCTAAACTTCTTAAATTCTGCAAGGGCTTTGTAAACTTATAATAAAAGGGTTACATAACATAACATAATAGCAGTTATCTGTAGTGTGTTTGACTGTTGTGTGCATGAGCACCAACTGCTATACACAGAGAGACATCATAGAAAAAAAAGAGGAGGGCAAGAAACCTATCCAGGGCTCTACGCTTACTTTTCTTTTTAGGAGGACTTGTGCTCCAAATTAAAAAAAATTTAGGAGCACAGTCAAAAAATTCAGGAGCACCTTCTGATCAATATTACGAGGTGATATTTTAGGAGCACAGTCAAAAAATTCAGGAGCATCTTCTGATCAATATTACGAGGTGATATTTTAGGAGCACAGTCAAAAAATTCAGGAGCATCTTCTGATCAATATTACGAGGTGATATTTAAAGTGATTTAGAGGGGCATTTTTTTTTAACCTTTGTAATGGCATTTTTTTCTAACTTTATTAAAAGTGTCATCTTTATGTCAAAAATGTATAAGCCTTTTTAAAATTTCAAATTAAAACAATAGAATAAGAAGAATAAGTTACTGATCAAATGAAATCGAATATTAAAAGTATTTTGCACTACAGAGGTTGCAAAGAAGAACAAAAGTGGCATGTAGTTATATTTACAGACATTTAATGAGGCTTAGAGGTGGCATGAGTGCAGTTAAATTCATAAATTCATGTTGAGATGAATGTTTTAAATATAAAATTTTGAATATAGAAATATTAAATGATTTACTTCACGATTCATTCACGAACAAAGCAAGTAACTGTCTTTAAAAAAAAGGTAATTGAATCATTGACTCAATAGATTAGTTTAAAGGGGTCATATGATGCTGCTAAAAAGAACATTATTCAAGTACTACTCTACACTGCCCAAAACTCGCGTTTGAATCATCAGTGGCAAATAATTTAAATGAAAACGTACTTACAGACTGTGAGTCAGAACTTCTGACATTTTAGTCTAACGTTACTCTCCCAGGATCAGTAAACAGATGTGCCAAGAGCTTGTAACACTCCAAAGAGAAAGGAAAAATTTAAATCGCATCATATGACCCCTTTAAAAACGCATGTTCATTCATAAACGAAAGATGGCTGTTTGCTTGGAGATGCACAGCGGCTCAGCTGTGACTTTGTTTGAAACTATTTTCGTTGACAAAATAGAGCAAAGTCAGGGAATAGTGTTGTAGTCAGACAATGTAAGTCACTTAATATTAACTTCTTGAACTGTTGTATTAATCATTAAAAGCTGTCACCTTAGTTCATCGCAATCTCACAATGTTCCATTATAATCAACAAAGTTCTCTAAACTGCACAATGAATATCTTATTTTAAACTTTTTACTACACAACTTTACATATTATTTTGCACTTTGTTATAATGAAAGGATTCGTGAGCTTGCATAACTGAGCACTGAACTAAACTCTGGTGTTTTGAGCAGTGAGTGGATTCTGATTAACATTGCTTTCAAAGAATCAAGAGATATGTCTGTGATACATTACTCAACGTTGCAAACACACGTTGCAAGTAGAAACCTTTGAAACTCCCTTGAGCGCAAACACAAATATGCTGATCGGGTCAGTCACACTGGTGCACCTAAATATTTTTTCATAGTTGCACGCAGTAGTTTTCAGTTGCAAATGCGACTGAAATGGTCGCACTGTAGAGCCCTGCTATCAAGAGAACAAGTGGCATCATCTACAGGTATATTCACATACATTTATGTCAGAATGGCCATGTGCACTTACAGTACATCTTCTATCTTAGAGATGATGTGCTCTGCACAGGATCGCTCTTTTTCCAGAGCCACGCGGTCTCTCATTCTCTCTGTATCCAGGCGGGCTAGATCCGCTTCAGCCAGGGTCAAACCCATACTGCGCTTGTGCCTGAGACATACAGATAACACATGGGTGAACATACTGGAGAAGGTGGATTTGACAGACACTTGTGCTGGTACATTGGAGTTAAAGAGTGTGTGTGGAGGGTTTTATCTGATTTTGTGTGTGTATTAGATAAGTGCTTCTCACCTGAAGTCTTCTAGGTTCTTCTGGATGTCAGGTAGAAGTGTGTCCTGCAGCTGCTGCACATACTGTCGGTGGACATCCTCTGAGATGGGCTCTGGCCTCTTCCGTTCCGTATTAATTGAGTGTGCAGTCCGTTCTACGTTCACACAAACATTTATAAAAGTCATGCAAAGTTCGGCTATAGTGTCACTAAAATGAGATGGGTGTCTTTTAAAAGAATATAGATGCACAATATATATATTGTTAATCAGACGCTTTTCTCATTTACCAACAAATCAGTAAATATCAGCCAATACAGATGAATTTAAAAGTAAAAAACAAAATATCAGATGGTTAAAATGGTTTAATCAGCTGATATTTAGTTGTTTTCATTTGAAATAATAGCCCTAGGATTTAGAAGTTTCAACTTACCCAGGTCAGCGATGATGGATTCGGGCACTGTTACTTTCAAGCTCTGTTTAAAAACAAAATACAACTCTTAAACAAAGACCACAACATCTATGACAAGCTAAACAATCTAAGACTGTTTTTAAGTTCCTCACAGCTGTTTTGTCTATGAAGAAGGTATCCATGAGGATTCGCCGTGTCTCTTTGGAGCTGGTCTGTTTGTAAAGTTCAGCATAGAGGTAGCACAGCTGCAGAGCGAGAAGGTAAATGAGTGATGTGACTCATCTGGTCTGAGACCCAACCATAAGCATGCAAGGGAGATTCATGGAACATGGAAAGTAATTTATAAACATTTTGTTAGATGCCTGGAAATTCCAGGTTCGTGGGTAATCGATCTCACCAGCGGTGCAGGGTCAAACTGAGAGACCACGTGATGGATGAAAGCTGCCAGGTGAGCAGGCCGAGATTTCAGGAGGTCTATGCTCTGAAAACAGCTACACTGGCCATTCATCTAGAGACAGAGAGAGTTAATTTACAAGTACACATTAACATACTATTCAACTTTATGGTTTAATGCTAAACTTAAATGCAGGCTTGTGAATGTAAATGTGTAAAAGCTTTTGCTATTTTCCAGGAATAAACGATGGGCTCTGTTCCAAATACTAGTGAACTTCCTTATCAACTGTCTACCTAGGCAGCTACCTTCTAAAATGACATCACAAGTAGAGTCGCCAAAAAGGAGGGCAATTAGAACTCCTGGGCATCGCTTGGGTTGGGCCCAGACTGGATTGTGGTCCCGGCAGAGGGATTGCCATTTCAAACGCAATGTGGGCATGTCCAGAAACACAACACCATTGAGAAAAGTTACTCAGTGACTTTATGCAAATGAGAAATGATTTGATGCATCAAATTCTAACAGGAATGAAATCGAAATCATGTGAATGTTTCCAGTGAGATCAAAGACTTACAGATAGACTTGAGACATAGATGGCTCACCCGTATTACTATGAATGGGAGAAACTGCAACACGCAATATGGTGGAAAAAGTTCCGCCTTCTAAATACAGAGCCAATCATCGTTTCCCATAGAAACTTAGTGTCCTGAGACTTGCGCTTAGGACTGCACATGCATTCGCTGGAGCAAACTGAAATACCTGAATGCTTTTTAAAACTATTTGAGCGTAAAGTTGTTTTCACATGTATTGCTGATCAGCGAATTTTTGCAGGCAAAATCCAGTCATTACAATACAAATATACACAATTAGGAATTTCGCGTGAGGGCAAATTATTTCCATACAAAGAATTTGCAATGGGTTCCAAGTTGGTCACAAAGATTCACTGTGCTGCTTGGTTTTAAAGTGACTTCTGTGCGAGGCCCTGCTATATACTTCAAATGAATTGAAGAACAAACTGGTGTGACGACATTTCAAATAAAATCAGACCAAAACGAAGTTCATTTGGAGTTTGTTTTAGGAGTTTGGTAAAGCAAAGTTTTTGGAAAACTTCGCTCTGGCTGGTAAACACATTTGAAATAACACTGGTCCGTGGTGAGGTAGGTGTGCTCTGGGGCTCCGCCTTCTTTGACGTGGAAATCTTCTATATATATTTTTATGTTCAGTCCATCGAGGTCAGACACAAGTAAAAATATAAACACACTGGAAAGCTGCTTTATAGTAAAAATTGAAGTTGTAAGTGGCACAACACTCTTTTTTCATGTTTAATACTGTAAAGTAGGGCTGCATGATTATGACAAAAATCATAATTGTCGATTATTCCTTTGAAATTGTAATTGCGATTATTAATTTGCGATTAAATTAATGATGTTTACACCTTCCTTTGAAGCAACTGCATGCCATATTTTTATATGAAAATAAACAAGCTGAAAACACTAACTGAAAAACTTACTGCTTTTCTTATTGCTATTAAGCCTCAAATGTCAACTATACATCGGATTGGTTTCTCTTTAAATAAAAAGGTAAAAATATGCATGGTATTATAATGTTATACTAAAACTAAAATTAAAACAATGGAAAAACCCTTAAGATAACATGTAGAAAGAAAAAAAAGCATCTTAAGCATGCAGAACAACATAAGTGGACAATTAATCGCTGCTTTGAACGATTATGTAATTGTGGCATCCATAATTGAAATTTGTGATTAGAAATTCGATTAATTGTGCAGCCCTGCTGTAAAGCTGCTTGCTTTAAAGCAATCTATTGTATAAAGTACAATATAATTAAACGTGACGTGACTTAAGTTGACTGGAGTGCCAAATTGCACTTGTGCAACATATCCACATCGATATGAACAGATGCTTTCTTAACTGCTGTTTTCTCACTGCCATCAGTTTTATTTATTTTGTTATTGAGAGGAAAGCCTGCAGCACGTATTACAAATTCATCTAAACCCTGCTCTCAGCAGCATAGGCAGTGCTGGGAGGTTTGCTTGCAGTATACCACTGCTCAAATATTTCAAACTTCTTTTTACCCCTAAGCAAAGAAAAAAAAAGAACTTTGTTGTGAGTATATCAGGGCCTTAGGTAGGCAGCTCACTAGTGTTTGAAGTAGAGCCTGTGAGTCTAAAAATTAAGAGGAAGAAATAAACGTACAGACTACAACCAAGCCACGGTCACCCCTACCTGTTCCTGCTCTGTGTCAAAGTCTTCATCCTCAGCACCAATGATGTGTGCTACCGGACGAGAGTAGGGGCTCCCCACACTCGACTGAGAATCCTAAATGAGAAACATTCAGATTATGCACAGCACAGAAACTACAAATGAAGGCATGAGGTCAAAGAGGTCACTCACAAGGTCAGGTGTGTCTTCAGCGTCTGGTGAAGGACAGGAGTTGAGGCTGTCTCGGGGTGTGGTCTTTGGGCTGTGGCAGGGGGTCTCTCTTTGGCATGGGCTCTCTGGGACAGGACTGGGAGTGACCTGCATGGATCAGTTGACACCAAATGTCAATTACACAGAGGAATCACAAATCAGCATCCAAGCAAATGTGTGAAATGTGGAAGGTGAGGTTGATGGGGAGCAGCTGTTCAGGAGGTGTACTGACAGGGGTTGTGGTATTGTTGGTCCATGGTGGCACCATTCCAGCATCGCCCTGCCAGGAAGGGGGCCGATCCAAATCTCCCCCTCCAACCTCCTGCTCTCCTTCTCGTGGCCTTGGAGATAAGGAGCCATCCTACAACAAACATAAACAAACATTTATTAGGACTGTCATGACATCATAACATATTGCCAGAACGTGAAGTGTAATTTCTACACCACCAGTGGTGCTTGAACAGAATCGTAAAAAAATTAGTTACTGAAGCCCACAGAGGTCAGGCATTATTATTTTCCTGCCTAGTTTTGATGATGATGTAACATGCAGAAACTTCATGCAACTTTCCTAAAAACAAAAAAGGAGAAAACTACTGTATGTTTATGAACACTGGCATTTGGTGTCACCAATCTCTAAAAAGGTGTCTTTTTTATGTTAACTAGATTTTTTTTGTCTTAACAAGCCATGCCAGCGATGCAATGAGCGACTTTTTCCACTGTATGTCCCCACATGCAGCAGAATGACAATAAAGCTCAACTTGAACTTGAACTTGAACTTGACAGGGGATTCTATGTTTGAAATGGTTTGACTTGGTCAGCCATGCTGGTGCTGCAACGTGGCTGACAACTCAGTTACTATGTGTTTTTTGTATATTAATATGGTTTCTTCTTTTGCAATTTGATTATGTACTTGCAGAGAGAGAGCCCACCCACATGCTCCTCTGATTGGCTGTGATTTGTAATTAATTTTGTTGCGTATTGTAGATATTTTGCTTCAAGTGTGACAAATTGCTTGTCTTTGGAATCTTATTATTACATAGTGTCTTGTTAGGACACGGTGTAGTACTGGACTACAGTGTTATTTTAGTATTATTGATACTACTGTAGTTTTTGTTAATATTTTTTATTAGATTTTATTTTACATTTTCAGTTTTATTTAACAAAGTTTGAGTAATTTTGTTGTGTTTTTGTATTTTTTCATATTTCCATATAGCTTTTTATAACATTTTAGTTTATTTTAGTACTTTAGTTTTAGTTATTATAGTACTTCAACTTGAGAAATGCTGCCTTGGAAACTAGCTGACTAAATAAATAAGGTTTTTTTTTTCCTTCAGGTAATGAATATGTTTTGCTATAGTTTTAGCTTTAGTTAACCCTAGACTACATGACTTAAAGGGGTCCTATTATGCTTTTTCACTTTTTTAATTTTAGTCAGTGTGTAGTGTGTATGTTTGGGCATAAAAAAGATCTAGAAAGTTACAAATCTCAAAGTCCACTCCAAAGGAAGATATGTCGTTTAAAAATCCCTTTTCAAGAACTACAACGAACGGCTCGTTTGGACTGTGAAAAATAATGCGTTTTTCGAACCACCAAGCATGAGAGCATGATCTAGTACACCCCCAAAACAAAATCAAGACTTTGTAAAAGAGCATAATAGCACCCCTTTAAACGTCCGATGGAAGCTGAACCAGGGGTTCCCATTTGAAATATGCTACTTGATGTCACACATTCCACACGTTTTACTGACAAATAAAATTTCACATTATGAGCATTACTAATTCTAGCCATTAAAGAGCCAAATTACGATGTAAAGTGATGGTTAATTTTCTCAGTTGCATTCACACCTGCTGTTACATACAGTGTCACTAGCAAAAATGAATGATTTAACATGAACAAACTCAATAAGTTTTCCTTTAGTTTCAATTTTGATGAACTTGATATTATAGCTGAGAGTGTATTTATGTACCAAAGTGATTGGGTGAATCTCATTAAGGAATGTCATATTTCACCTCACAATAAAAATAAAGAAAATACAAAACTATGTTTTGCATAAAGGAAACGAGGCCCTTAAGTGTAATTATGGTCATTTCAATTAAGCACATTTAATAAATATAAAAAATTACATATAATATATATAAAAAATATAAATAACCCAATTTATGACCGTAATGCAAAAATCTCACTAATTTTTTCTACATTACATTAACATTAGTGTATATATAGAATTTATTACAGTATTTTTATTTTATTTATTTATTTTTACTTCACATTTCAGAACTGAGAATTCCTCTGAATCACAGGCTGTTTGTTGGTTTGTGTGTGTGTGTATGAGTATGTACCTGTCCAGTCCCAGTGGGCTTGCTGAGCTGCTCCTGGTGCTGTGGAATGTGCTTCTTGGCATCCTGGATTTCCTTCAGTAGTTTAGTTGTAGGGTTCCTGCTGTGCTCCTCCGTCATGGCCTGTAATTTATCAAACATCACAGCAGCTCTGATCATTCCCACGTCTCTTGTCATAGAAGATGTGAGATTGAACACTCAGAGAGTGCTGTCACGACATCACGTGGTTGATACAAGTACACTTAAGTGTATGAGTGCAATGACAGACTTAATCACACATGAGTTAGTCTACAATAATAGCTTCAGTTCTGCAAATTAAGTCAATACTTTCCAATGGCTCTAATCTGAATGTGTGCGAAATACAGCTTGCATTTACACATACTAATAGGTCACAGTATGCATGCGTTATTTATAAGTAACTCCGCATAGCAGCAGCATTTCAAGTAGGGTTTCAGTTCTCAAAACTTGATAGAAAATATGGCAAGAATGCATGGCAACTTAATCAGCAACACAGTCTTCTAATACAATACATTTCTTCAAAAAGCTAAATAATGGAATATATATATATATAAAAACACATCTGTCAGGCTTGATTTTAATTGTACACTCCTGACAACCAACATACACTACCATTCAAAAGTTTGTGTTCCGTAAGATTTTTAATGCTTTTGAAAGAACTTTTGCTCAGCAAGGCTGAATTTATTTGATCAAAAATACTGTGTGAAATATTACAATTTAATATAACTGGTTTCTCTTTTATTCTATATAATAAGTATAATTTTGTCCTTTGTTAATTGAACAGCAGCCATTACGCCAGTCTTCAGTCACATGATCCTTCAGAAATCATTCTAATATGCTGATTTGCTGCTCAAGAAACATTTCTTATTATTATCATGCTGCTTAATATTTTTGTGGTACATTTTTTTCAGGACTCTCTGATGAAAGTTAGAGCTGCATGATTTTTCTAATGAAAGTCAAACACCCACGCAATCTTATTCCTAAATGATACTGATTAAAGGAGTAGTTCACTTCTAGAATGAAAATTCTGCCATCATTTACTCACCTGCCACTTGTTCCAAACCTGTTGAACATGAAAGAAGTTATTTTGAAAAATGTTAGTATTCAAACAGTTGATGTGCACCATTGACTTCCACAGTAGGGGGAAAAAAATACTATGGAAGTCAATGGTGCCCATCAACTGTTCGGATACTAACATTTTTCAAAATATCTTCTTTCGTGTTCAACTGAAGAAAGAAATGCATACAGGTTTGGAACAAGTGGAGGGTGAGTAAATGATGACAGAATTTTCATTCTAGAAGTGAACTACTCCTTTAAGCTACGACTATTACGACTGTTTCACGCTGCAAGAATCAGCGGTGCATATTTTTGACGCTGTCCATGTTCATGAATGAGAGAGTTTACTGTCACGCCGTGATGTGAACGGTCATTCATTAACTTGGGCAGCGACAAAACGCTGGCATGTTGTTGTGAAACAAGCGTTAATCCAAAGACTTTAGGGACTTTGAAAACTACACTTTTGAACACTGCAACATTCAAATCTGTGTTCGGACTGCTGCTGATCCGAAGCAAGCAGCCGCCATGTATAAGTTCATGTACAGTATGAAACAGCTTCAGTCTTTTCAACCACATATTACCATTATTAATAGAGTAAATTACCTTTTGAGATTTTGAGACTTGTATGTATTGTATCGATTATCTCGTTACGACTTTTAAAAAAAGTATTTGTATTTGTCATTGAATCATTCACTCAAGAGATTCATTTATAAACACTGATTCATTCAATAACGAAACGAGACTTTATAAATGAGACATGCTTCATTCAAAATTATTTTTTAATTATTTAATCCAAATTAATGTATTTTTTAATAAACTGAAGCAATGAACATTTTGTCAGAACCTCTAGTAAATTATTTTGTTTCTCTCATGATTTTCTTCAGAATTGCGCAAGAATCGCAATCTATATTTTAAACAAAAAAACTGTGATTCTCAGTTTATCCAGAAACGTGCAGCTCTAAAGCAAGTTTAAAGAAAATTCAAAGAGAACAGAAATAGTTTGAAACAGAAAATTTTTTCAACATTATAAATATATTTTCTGTCACTTTTGCTCAATTTGAAGCGTCCGTGCTGAATGAAAAAAAAAAGCCAACCTAGAACAGCAGTGTATAATTTAAACCATTATGAAAGGAAATACTCAATGTAGTAACCCAGAAATCACTTTTGTATAGAGCCATAGCCCTCCTACGTGTCCAAAACGCTGCCTGTATGAAAGCATGTGACTGCTGTTGCCGTTTTGCTGCTGTGATGCTTCAAACACAACCAGAAAAACACATAATGAGTTACTGTAGTAAAAGGCATACAGTGCTATGAAAGAAAGAAGGCAGATGATATGGGGCTGAGGGAGATCAAGGCTGTTTATCAATGATCTGAGCTCTTACCCATACAGGCAGAGGGGTTGGTTTGCACTCCGAGGGGCTGGGGGAGGAAGACGAGCGGTCTGGACCGATGGGCCCCGGGGAGTGAGGGGAGGTGAGCGAGAAGAGAGGCCCCTCCTCCCCCTCGCCGTCTGAGAGGGGGATCTGAGGCAAACCCGGCGGTCTCCCCAGCACGGTTAGGGCCACGTAGGAGCCCGCTGTACACAAACACACCAACAACTGTACAGTACTGTTAATTTTAAAGTGAATAACTTCAGTAAAATGATTAAAGTGAAAGACTCATGCTACTTACATTTTATTAGCTTTACAACTTCTACATGATTTGAGTGTGTAACTAATGTCCCATTGACCTGCATGAAAAAACACACATTAAACATGCTGATTAATTGAAATTCATAGATGATACTTAACAAATCACAATGCTACATTAGTCTTTAGTTTGTGCTGTATTTACTTAATAGCCCAACTTTATTTTTATATCAAATCAATTCTCAATATTAAGAACAATATTGCCAGTTACTGTCTATTTCTGTATTAGCAATGAAAAAATGGTGCTAAAAATACTTATTTAACTGTTTTCAGCGTTATTTTAGTTCCACTGAGATACTATATAGTTTTTTATTCATATTTTGAATAAGCCTTTATTTTTTGCATTTTCCAATTTTATTTACATTTTTGTGGCGTTTTAGTAATTTTGTTTATTATTAGTTATTGCTTTTTTTAATATGTCTATATAGTTTTTATTTATTTTTATTTTCAGTTAAATTAGTGCAAGTTAAACAACGAAAATGATTCAAGTATTACTTCAAGAAACAATTTTTTTTTAATGGTTTTAGTTAACTATAATATGATATGAGCGTACACTATCATTCAAAACTTTGGTTAATACGATTTTTTTAATACTTATTATTAATAATAATACTTTTATTCAGCAAGGACAAATTAAACTGGTCAAAAGTCACAATAATAACATTTATAATGTTTCTATTTTAAATACATGCTTTCTTTTGAACTATCTATTCATCAATGAATCCTGACAAATGCTGCGTGATATTTTTTCACAAAACTGATAATAGTAAGAAATGTTTCTTGAGCACTAAATTAGTATCTTAGAACGATTTCAGAAGGATTGTCTGACACTGAAGACTGGAGTAATGATGCTGAAAATTCAGCTTTGCCACCACAAGCACAACATTTAAAAAAATATATTAAAACAGAAAAGAATGATTTTAATTGGAAAAATTATTTCACAATATTACTGATTTCACTCTATTTTTAAGCAAATAAATGCAGCTTGGTGAGCATAAGAGACTTCATTCAAAAACATAATGATATTGTACGTCACACCATAATTGTGATTTCCGAACTCATAATTAGGACCAGAGAAATATGTAGAGTTATAATTCTCCATTCAGCCAGCAAGTGGCAGAGCACAGCACCCGAGACATCCTGCGACATCAGGTGAGCCTGTCTGGAGAGTGTGTATTGTAGCCACAGGGCTTAAAGACACAAGCCCCAGTAACAGTTTCTAGGGCTGGTCAGACAGATTGTGCTCATTTTGAACTGAATCTCGACAATTTCTATTAAAATCGACTTCTCTGATTAATAAATCTGAACTTCATCATGGTGGAGCTCCTGATGATCCTCACCTTTATGATCCGGTCACCTGTCTGAACACCAGCTCGCATGGCAGCTCCATCTACATGCAAAAGAAGAGAAAGAGAGATCATGCACTCTGATGGAATGAAAAAATATACCACGGTACCATCTGATACCGTCATTGTGCCATGGTACCGCCACAGTACAGTGTAAGGATGGTCACATGTAGCTTGAATACACATTTTCACTGCCTCACTGTAGTTACGGGAAAAGCAACTATGTATTTAGCACTGTTAGTGTCGTAATTATACTGTACTGTGGTGATACACAACCAGATAATTATCCATGCCTTGGTGGTTAAAGGAGACAAGTATGTGTTTAAGTCACTCGTGAAACTGTTCTGCATGTGCATGTTATGGAGGGCAAAACAAGAATGGTGAACAACAGGGATAGTGTCTTTCTTACCCTCTTTTACAAGCTGTATAAACACAGGGTTATCGCCGCTCACTGTCAGCCCAAAGCCATTCTCATCTTTCTGGATGATAACACAACGCTGCACAAGCCCTGAGAGACAGACAGAGAGTGAGAGAGGGGGATAAAGCAATGGAAAGATATGGAGGGTGCAAAAGAGAGGATGAGGACTTGGTAAGTAGCATTCAAGGAGCTGGATAAAGAAGTGTGTGTTCACATACAGTATAGTGGTGTTGTGTGTGTGTGTGTGTGTGTGTGTGTAAAACCAGATCAAAAGGCTGAGAGACAGTAGATAAACACACCAAAAAAGATTTCTTAAAAGGCCTTGAGCAGTCATAAAAGAGCTTTAGAAACTACATAAACAACAAAAAACTGTTTCTTTTCTGGTATGCTTGTGACTTTACAGGAAGTCTATGTGAGAAAATGTGAGAAAGCTACTCAACCATACACTACCGTTCAAAAGAGGTCAATAAAATACAAAAAAATAAATTTGAAATACATTAATAAAAAATTAATGATTGATAATAAGACGTTTCTTGAGCACCAAATCATCATATTAAAATGATTTTTGAAGGATCATTTGACAGCGAAGGCTTGATTCAGCTTTGGCATGACAGGAATAAATAATATTTTAAAAGATAATAAAATATAAAACATTCATTTGAAATGGTAATACCCACAATATTACTGTTTTGCTGTATTTTTGATCAAATAAATGTAGCCTTGGAGAGCAAAAGACACTTCATTTAAAAATATTTTTAAAAAATCGTACCGACCCCAGATTTTAGAATATGTGAAACTAAACCTCATTCCACAATATAAATATGCTCAAGGAGAAATTCAAAAGATTGTAGTATATAGCAAAGTCTACAAGAAATGGTGTTCTCAACCAATTTTACTTTTTGTAATCAGACATATTTCTAAATTTAATAGATTTTCAACAAAAACAAATTATTAATAATATTAATAAGGCATTTATTATTATTATTATTATTATTATTATTAGTAGTAGTAGTAGTAGTAATAATACTAGAATTAACAAAAAATTATTAATAATAATAAAAAAATAAAAAGGGTCTTGATGATGCCAAAAAGGAAAGAAGTTTCAGAATAGGATCAAGTTATTACATTACGATGAAAGATTACAAAAATACCTTTTTTCCTTAGGAATAACGTAAACTGTTAAATCACAATTTACAATAAGATCTCGAAGGTGTATTAATAAAGTAAATGAGGTAAATTTTGATTTCAAGATGACTGTAAAGTGGGATATTCTTATATAATACTATGAAGAGTATATACTTGTAATAGACCTTTTGTACAGATCATATATTAAGACATACCCTGCAATCAATCAGGCATATTTGTGCAGGCCCGGCATCATCACATAAGAATAAATCTCTCAACTATGAGCATTGAAGTATTAAACAAGAAAAAAAATTAATTAAAAATGCATGTTTAAAATAATAAAATCATGGTCCTCACAAATAGATAAATCATATTACAGCTGGAAAGAGCTGTCGAGATACAAAACACTTGTGTACCAACTAAACAAATTAAGATTCAGTACAGATTTTTTTTTTAATCAGAATCTGTTTGCGTTTAAGCATACTGTCATTCAGGGTTTGACAATGCAACTGTATACCGCAAAAACGTTTTATGACTCTGCAGACTGGTGTCTTTTAATGTTTAATGTTCATGGACGCTGCTTGTGTGAAGAACAAGAACACGCCAGACAAGTATCTCACCAGACTGGATCAGTCTGCAATGTGTTTCCATGAAACGCTGTGGTGTAGGTCAGAAGCCATTGATGTGTGATGACTACAAAAGCGCATCTTCCTCCATTTGTGCTACTAACACAAAAACAGGCCCCCTCACACATTCACACACACTCTGGCTGAGTGTAGCCATTATATTGAACTTGATTGACTGGTGCATTCCAAATTTGTGACAATTACACTCAATAAAACACAACCAGATGATCTGCCTTTGGTATTGTATTGCTTTATGGATGTGACATCTGGCCTGGATTAACTCAATGTATGCATCTTTCAAACCTCCTGGAAACTGTTGGAGTGACTGGAATGATTCTACCTCATTCTCATGCATTATTAGAAGATCTGATTCAAGAGAATCACTCATTTGAAGGACCTGACCAGATTAAAGCAGCAAAATATTTTATACTGTGCGAGGAAAAATAGTAGTAGCCTATTTTAAATTAAATAATTTGCTATTTATTGTGCTGAAGCCAAAAGCAATGTTTAAAACAGTATCTGGAAAATATTATCATCAATAATAAGAAGAAAACAATAATTATTGGTCTCTGATATTTTAGAGTTGCATGTATGTAGCTTGCATAAATTAGCATAGTAAACTTTATTTAAATGTAAAATATACACTACAGTTCAAGATTTTTTTTAAAGAAATCAATATTTTATTCAACATGGATGCATTAAAAACTTTTGAACTTTGATGCATTTGCTTTTGAACTTTCTACTCATCAAAGACTCCTGGAAAAAAAACAAGGTCACAACTGTTTCAACATTGTTAATAAATGTTTTTTTTTAATCAGCATATTAGAATGATTTTGAATGGAAGTGTACACATTTTATAAGTTTAAACATTCTGCATTAATAATATTATAATATTATATACATTTTAAATGTAGATTGTTATCAATATTATAATTTTGTGTGCATGTAATCGGAGTTGGTTCTAAATTTTAACCCAAATTTACAAAAAATTAAATGACAACTTAATAAGCTTAAATAAATAAATCCAGATTTTTGCATGAAAATGTTCTCACAGCACAAATGCCAGTTCATGGATGAGAACCAATGTTATAAAACTAGTACGTTGTGTTGGTTGTCAAACTACTTTATGAAAACAGTGTTTATTTAAAATAAATTCTTAGTTAACAACTTGGGCTGAGTGCACTTGGTCAACTAACCACAAAGAACTGGCTAAATGTTTCGAGCATCTGTTCATTCATTCTGTTCACTGACATCAAACAGATGGCTGTAAAGTAAGATTAAAAGCAAACTAAAGGCATGAACTCACGATAGAATAGATGAAAAGAGCCAAACAGAGTGAGCTAGAAAGAGACTGCAGAAAGGTTAAAGGTTTGTGTGTGAGGACAAGGCCATAATGCAAACGGTTCAAGATCGCTGACAATTAAACATGTCTTTGAGCAAGTCCAGTTCCATCAAGGTACAGCCCGACACCAAGACATGCTAAGAAATAAATGCAGGTCAAGTTTGATGAGCGGCGGGCATGAAAGAAAAAGAATGAGGCTCACACACACACACACACACAAACCACAGCAAATCCCCAGAGCAGCGGCAGTGACCCAGTGACTCTTACCGCAGGACTCTGGCCTTCCGTCGGCAACTACACTTTGAACAGGCAGTTCTGACAGCAGAAAACATGCGGCGCACAAACACACACACACAAACAGCAGGAGAAAGAATACGATTATGAAAAATCACACTAAAAAAAGAAAACGTATCTGATAGGTTTTATATGGAAGTAATATGCAAAATTCTGCCGAATTATCTATTAAACTAATTTAACTCAAAATAATGGGAAAAAGGGGTAAAAAAAAAAATAGAAGTGATTTTTTTAAATAAAAATTATAATAAATAATAATAAAACGCTAAAACATAATTTCTTAATCTCAGTATCTCTTGAGCTCACAAAATCAGTCACACTTTTACCAAATTTGAGACACTTTATTCAAGACCAACAGACACTGCTTCCTTTTCCTACCGACTCAATTTATAAAACGATGACTCAGACTCATCTGAGACACACCCTGTATATCCTCCTTGATGACTCAGCTAGATCACTCACTAAAATAAACCTCCATCCTCAAATGAGATTTCCCTCTCTGATGGGCGCACAGCTGTGCGTCCCTGCGGCAGGAAGAGAGAGAGAAGGATTACAGCCCTGTGACAACATCCGGAGCTTGTGATGAGATGGGCCTCCCACATAATGGTATAACCAGGCTGCTAAAACGACATCAAGCCCAAAGCACTGGGAATTAAAGAGTTAAACTTCAATACTGCATGGCAACATGGACTCTGGTGTGCTTGATTTGATCACTTCAGTCATGTCTGGTTAATCCCAAGAAAGATTATAAATGAGTCATGACTTCAAATCCAGGTTTGAAACACAGATGTGAGATAAGTTCACTTCAGTATACTAGGGGCAAATTTTCACTGCTAAATGATGTTAAAACGAAATTATACATTCCCATGGAGCTTTTTCCACCAAGTGTGAACACTCACACTGTGACAAAGTGCCATTTTGTTTTTGTCATCTGTTCATGTGTCTGGAATCAGCATTTGATATTGTTGTTCGCAGAGTAAAACAGCAAAAAGCATAAAATAAAAAAATGTATGCTAAAAAAATACACCAAATAAACAAAATAGAAATATAATAAATATAATAAAGAAAATATAAAATATTTACAAATAAATAAATAAATAAAAGATCCTCTTCTTTTTCTTCTCTGTATTTCTCCTCTGCTCTAGTTTGTCTAATCTAGCTTTCTAATAAATGTGGCATTGCATCCTGCAAATACTGTTGGCTGTGTGATTAATTGCTTATGCTCCTCTATTAGAAGTCACTTTAAATAAAAAGTGTTTGATAAATGCATAAATATAAATATAACAGTAACATTTAAAATCCATATGGGTAAATGGAGCACAAAAAAAAGTGATGTGACAACCAATTGTTGACAAAATGAGAACGTGTTAAAAATACTTTACTCAAAAATGAAAAATATGTAATAAAGTGCCACGATTTCCCTAAATGTTGCAGCTCTCAAATCTTATTTGCACTTACAACACATTTAAATTTCACATATTTTTGATTCAAACCGGCAAATGAGATTTGAACGCTGCGGTGAAAGGATAGATTTTTTAGTTAAAGTTCAGTCTGTTCCTCACACAAAGCCATTCAAAAGTATTGTGCGAGTCATGTGGACTGTTTTTAGTAGAGCTGATACAATTAGTCGACAATAAAAAATTGTTGACAAATGTTGTTGAATAGTCGTTTGATCTCATATGACCGAATGTAAGAGCCTGCAA